TCCCTGAGCTGCTCTGCTCCCCACACACACTAGCTCCCGGGGCTCTGACCCAGGACTTGCTCGGCCACTCCCAGCTGCCAGCCTACCTCTGCCATGTGCTCCTGCACTGTTTGTGCTTGGGGTCTTCCCTGAGCAGAGGGCACGTGCCCCCCTCACAGACGGGACTTCCGAGGCAGGCCGGGGGCTCAGGACTAGTGAGTGGTGGGACCAGTGGACCCAGATGCCGGGCACGTTCTCAGCCCCATAGGAAGTGGCCCAGCCTGAGTGAGCCTCCATGGGATCCCTGAGCCTGAAGGGCCTAGAGGGGAAAGTGTGAGTGAGTGTGAGTGTGAGATTGTGTAAGAGTGAGTGTGTTTGAGAGTGAGTGTGAGTGTGAGAAACTGAGTGTGAGATTTGTGAGTGTGAGCGTGAGTGTGTGAGATTGAGTGTGTGAGTGAGTGTGGGGCATGGGGTGAGCACATATATGTGGATGCCTGGATGTTCATCTCTGGACTTGTGGGAGCGAGTGTGAGGGGATCAGTGTGTGGTCAGGGGGACATCCGTAAATGTGTCCATCTGTAGCAGGGTGTGAGTATGCACGGGTGTGTGTTCATCACTGTGGGTGTGAGTGGGTTTGAGGGTCTTGCACCCGAATGCCTGTGCCCACCTTGCTGTCCCTCTGTGCATCTCTCTGTCTTCCTTTCTCTTTCTTTCCTGTCTTGGCTCTCTGTCTCTCCCCAGTCTGTCTCTGTCTTTCCCTCTCCCTGTCTCTTCTCTCCCCTGTCTGTCTCTCTCTCTCTCTCGTCCCTATCTCTCATGTCTCCCTGTCTATGTCTCTTTATCTCCCCTTGTCTCGGTCTCTCTGTCTTTCCCGATCTCGGTCTCTCCCTCTCTTCGTCTCTCCCTTCCTGTCTCTGTCTCTCTGTCTCTCTGTCTCTCCACATCCCTGTCTCTCCTCTCTCCCTGTCTCTCTCCCCTCTGTCTCTTTATCTCTGTTTCTGTCTGTCCTCCTCTGTCTCTCTCCCTTCCATCTCTGCCTCTCCCTGTCTCTTTGTCTCTCCCTGTCTCCTGCTCTCTGTCTCTCCCCATGTCTGCCTCTTTGTCTCTTACTCTCTCTGATCTCCCCCTCTCTGTCTCTGTCTCTCCCTCTCTCTGTCTCTCTTCCTCTCTCTCTCCCCTTCCATCTCTGTCTCTTTCTGTCTCTTTCTCTCTCCCTATCTCCCCTTCTCTGTTTCTCCCCTCTCTGTCTCTGTCTCTCTCAGTCTCTGTCTCTCCTCCTCTGTCTCTGTATCTGTCTCTTTATCTCTTTCTGTCTCTCCCCCTCTCTGTCTCTGTCTCTCCCCTCCATGTCTCTTTATCTCTCCCTATCTCCATCTCTCCTCCTCTGTCTCTTTATCTCTCCCTGTCATTGTCTCTTTATCTCTCCTTGTCTCTGTATCTCCCCATCTCTGTCTCTTCCTGTCTCTTTATCTCTCCCCTCTCTGTCTTTTTATCTCTCCCTGTCCATGTCTCTTTTTCTCTCCCTGTCTCTTTATCTCTCCATGTCTCTTTCTCTTTATCTTTCCCTGTCTCTTTCTCTCCCCTCTGTCTCTGTCTCTCCCCATCTCTGTCTCTCCCTGTCTCTTTATCTCTCCCTGTCTCCCTCTCTTTGTCTCTCTCTCCCCCTTCTGTCTCTTTATCCCTCCCTGTCTCTCCTCCTTCCTGTCTCTGTCTCTCCCTATCTCTGTCTCTCTCACTGACCCTGGTGCAGTCTCCCCTACCTGGACCTTGGTGCAGTGTCCCCGGGTGTTTGATGCAGGTCCTGCCATGAGCCCCTTGGGGTGTGCCTGTCCTGGCCCACAGCCCACAGAGGGTGGCTGCTGGGGTCCCAGGGCTGTGCCCACAGTCTGCCCCTGGCTGTGGGGCCTGGCACATGGGAAGCAGGAGGGAGGGAGGCATGCATGGGGTGCAGGGCCCAGCAGAAGTCAATGCCAGACCTTGCAATGCCAGCCTGGGCCTGGCTGTGTTGTGGGCACAGTCCTCATGGGGGCTGCATATCAATGAGTCCTGCAGCTGGTAAGAGCCCTGCTGACCTGGCCCAACCTGGGTGGACATCAGAATAAACTGTGCAGATCCTGGTGGAACCTAGGCTGACCCTGACTGACCATGGACTGACCTTGGCTGACCCTGGTTGACCCTGGCTGATCTTGGTTGACTCTGGCTGATCCTGGTCTGACCCCATTTGACCCTGGCTGAACTTGGTTGACAGTGGCAGACCCTGAGCTGAACTGTTTGACTCTAGCTAGCCTTGGCGGACCTGGGCTGACCTTTGTCTAATCCTGGCTGATCTTGGCCTCTCTAAGTCCTGACCCTGTTTGACCCTGGCTGATCCTAGGCTGACATTGGCTGATCCAGGGTGATCCCAGCTGACACTGGGCTAAACTTGGCTGACCATGGGCTGACCCTGGCTGACTCTGGGCATCTAGGGGCTGGTGTGGGGTGGGGGCTGGGGCCTTCTGTAGGCTTTGGGGGCCTCACTGCCCCCAAAGGACTCTCTGAGGCTCTGGCCCCTCACCTAGGCCCCAGGCTCATCTGGCCAGGTCTCGGTTTAGGGGCATGGTTCTCAGAACAGCAGTCTCTGGCTGGGACACCTGGGCTAGGCTGTGCTCACAATGACTCAGCCACTCTAATGCACTATTTTTGGTGTTTCAGCAGGTGATGGGGTCAGAAGGCTTGAGCAGAAAGAGAAAAACAAGAGAACACAAACACCATTGCCTCCCCCTCCTTCCTCGGTCCTCTCCCCACTGGGAACCCCTGTGCTTGATGACCCTCATAGACTGGGGTCTGGCTCATGTGGCCTGGGCCCTGGGCTGATTCTTCTTACACCAAGTCAGTCTGGCACCTATGTGTCACTCTGAGCCCTGGAAAGGATGGAGCCAGGCGGTGAGGTTATCGCTTCATTCTCTATCCAGTGCCTAGACCAAGAGGGTCTCAGCTCCCCTGGGAGGCTCCCTCTCCTCCGTGTGCATCACTTCCTAAAGAGGGTCAGGGCTCAGGACCCAGGGCACAGGAACAAGACTCAGGATCTAACATAAAGTGATGCAGGCTGAGAACAGGGCTCCAGACTCAGAATAAATGAGCATAAGTTCAGCACCTAGGCAGAGCATTTAGGACCAGGGCCAGGAGCAGGGATTAGTGATCAAGACCAGGGCCTAGTGATCAGGACCAGGGCCCAGTGACAAGGACCAGGACTCAGTGATGAGGACCAGGACCAGGGCTTAGTGATCAAGACCAGGGCCAGGTGACCGAGACCAGGGCCCTGTGATCAGGACCAGGGTCCAGTTACCATACCTGCATAGAGTGACCAGAACAAGGGTTCAGTGACCAGGACAAGAACCAGGGCTCAGTCACCAGGATTAGGGTCCAGTGATCAGGACCAGGGCTCAGTGATCAGGACTGGGCCCAGTGACCAGGACCAGGGCCCAGTGATCAGACCAGGGCTCAGTGATCAGGACCAGGGCCCAGTGACCAGGACTAGGGCTTAATGATCAAACCAGGGCTCAGTGATCAGGACCAGGGCTTGGTGACCAGGACCAGGGCCCAGTGATCAGACCAGGGATCGGTGATCAGG